CATGCAAAGGCCAATGCTTGGGATGAACTTCATTAGAAGCCTATTTGTTGTAGTAGTTGTGTTTTAAACAGATATAAATATAAATCCTTTAAGTAGATATTAAAGCTTACAGAACAGTTAATTATATTTGTTTTAGATTCATCCAGTGGACTTTTCATCTAGTAAAGGTGTCCTTTCCCTGTCTCTCCCTTGTAAGAAAAGAAGGATGTTATTGTGCGAAATAGGCAAGAAAATATACTCAGTTCTATGAAAAAATATGAAGATTTTCTGAATTTCTGCATAATTTTCTACCAATCAGAGCTTTACATGGTCCGACTAATACATACTATATATATGGAATCTGAGTGAAAATAAAGTTTTATTTTTGTCTTATTCGTTCTATAAACAAAGGTTATCCATATGTGTCAGTGTGAAAAATGTAGTTTCCCCTTAATTCAATCACTTCCATTACCAATGTAACTAGGGCTAGATATGTGAGTGCCTCATTAAACGATCAGGACTGATGTGTGCCAAAAGTAAACTTGTGCGTTGCTTGCTTCCACTCAGTATGAGTATGAAAGAGAAACAGTAAGAATGTATTATTTGTCAGAAATTTGGATTTCTCTCTGAATGTTTTTCAAGCAAGGTTTCCTTTCCATTATCGATTTTATTTGGTTCATGTTAAAGCTTTGCGAATAAGCTACGCTTATCTCTTGAGAAAGAATCAGTTTTGCCCCCTTTGAGGAAGGTTTTATTTCATTTTATTTGATTTGTCTGCCACCCATTTCGTTGCAAGGCAACTGGGCAGCATATAAGTTTTTAAGAAGCCACTGATTCTCAGAACTAATCGCAATAAATTAAAAGAGTTATTTATTTTCTCCTCTTTAAAAATAGTAAATTAAATGTGAGGGTTCAGGAGTAATTTTCTCTTTTTTGCAGTATGCCTTTGCATATATTTGCTTTAATCTGTCTGAGATAACCCTCAGGTACATTATTTAGTAGGAGAGTATACAGAGATTTTGCTGTTGTTTTTTTAATCCTGTCACTCACAAATAGTCAGCTCTCTTGTAGCACTCCCCCCCCCCCCGGGGCTACATGCTTGTACAATTGCCTGTTGTCCTATCTGTTAGTCTTCTCATATTCTGTAGAACTAGAAAGACAGAGGATATCAGTACATCTTTTATATCAAGTTTTTATTTAACCATCCATTTGATTTTCAGGGCACATAGCCCAGTAATATAAATTGAGACTCTAAGGTAGAGTTGCTAATTATTTCATTGCTATTTGTAATAAAAAATATATCCACCTCCCTCAAATTAGCATATCTCAGGTAAAACTATAATGCTACAATAAAGTCTGTATCAGAATAGTACAATACAAATGATACATAAAATATCTTCAGTATCAAAACCGAAACTTTTTAACTATCAGTATAGCAAGAAGGTAGTCAGGCAAATTATAGGGAAGTTCATATTACAGGTTGGCATTGCTTCTCACTAATTGCCTAGTTTTTACTGATTATCTCTTTCAAACTCTGGTCATAAGATTTCTTTTATGACAGAAATAAATTGGTTCTTTTATGGTATAAATAAATCAGTTGGTTCTCATTTTCAGTTCTCCCTTTGTAGTGATTTTTTTCTTTGTTATATTAACTCTAGAAACAACTTTTTACACATTAATTTTGTACACATGCAGACATTTTAACTATAAGTATTTCATTACTACTTTAGTGAGACTTCACATATTGTGTAAAGGCAGTTTTTTTAAAAAATCTTGCCTATTACCGTGTTTCTCCAACAATACGGCCTCCCCAATAGGAAGTCCCAGCATGCTTTATAGGCATAAAATCAAATTAACCCCCCCCCCCCAAATTAAGGCTTATATTAAACATGGGAAATGGCGGGAAATGGCGGGGGGGCTGGCCGTTGGGAAGTACTTTTGTTGCATACCCGGATATGGTGCTGCCTGTGTTGACTTCGGAGTTGGTGGGGCACTTCGTATCGGGAGACCTTCCGCCACCGTTGCTTTCCCTTCTCCCCATGCTGCCGTGGCATTTAAAGCAACGCCGTGCCGTTTGGCGCAGCCACCCGCGGCCAGCCAGGGCTCCTCCCTGCAACTGGAGCCCGGCGGAGACACTCGGCTTCAGGCGCTCCTGTCGCCGCCTTCCCTTCGCCTTCGAAGGCAAAGCCAATTCTTTTAAAAACGACGCCCTACTACCGGTACGACAAAAACTCCCCTGCCCGAGAGGGCAGCCCAACCCCACATGAGGAGGCAAATCTCCCAGGGCCGCAGCGCAGGATCGGCCCACCCCAGGAGAAGCGCCCAGCCGCCATCCCTGCCTGGCGCCGGGCAGAGCGCAAAGAGCTTCGCCTCGGGCGCCCAGTGCAGCTGACAGATGGGCCCTCCTGCCCGGCGGCAGACCTATCACCAAGGCAGCGAGCGCCTCCCCGCCGGACCCTCTGCTCATCCCGCCAGGGCCGCGCCAGAGCCGTGCGGGCTGGGCAGAGCCGGGAAAGCGAGCCGCGGGTGTGCGCCCGCCTGCCAACTGAAAGAGCCGGGCCAACCTGAGCTTGGCTTCCTTCCCAAGTCCCTCCAGCCCGAACCCAAAGGGGCCACCGGGAGAGGCTGCCCGAGGCAGATAGCGCCCACCCGTCCGCGGATAGGGAGGCGAGATGACAGCGCTGCTTCCCTGGCCGGCGGGTCCGGCGGAGAGAGCCCAAAGCCGCCCATCCATTCCACCCCTTGCCCAGCCCGTCCCCGTCCCCACGCATCTCCAAACACGCCGGCAACTGCAAACGCTGCAGCGACACAGGCATCAGGCAGAGGTGCTCACTCATCGGGGCTCAGCTCGGAGGACGACGCGGTGCAGGCTGTTGCCTTGCCTCCCTGTCCACGGATGGGTGGGCACTATCACTGCCTCGGGCGGCTTCTCCCGGTGGCCCCTTCGGGTTCGTGCTGGAGGGACTTGGGAAGGAAGCCAAGCTCAGGTCGGCCCGGCTCTTTCAGTTGGCAGGCGGGCGTGCACCCGTGGCTCGCTTTCCCGGCTCTGCCCAGCCCGCACGGCTCTGGCGCAGCCCTGGTGGGATGAGCAGAGGGTCCGGTGGGGAGGCGCTCGCTGCCTTGGCCAGAGCTCTGCCGCCAGGCAGGAGGGTCCGCTTGTCAGCTGCGCTGGGCACCCCAGGCGAAGCTCTTCACGCTCTGCCCGGCGCCAAGCAGGGATGGCAGCTGGGCGCTTCTCCCGGGGTGGGCCGATCCTGCGCTGTGGCCCCGGGAGATTTGCCTCCCCATGTGGGGTTGGGTTGCCCTCTCGGAGAGGGGAGTCTTTGTCGTACTGGTAGTAGGGCATCGTTTTTAAAAGGATTGGCTTTGCCTTCGAAGGTGAAAGGAAGGTGAAAGGAAGGTGGCGACAGGAACGCCTGAAGCCGAGTGTCTCCGCCAGGCTCCGGTTGCAGGGAGGAGCCCTGGCTGGCCGCGCATGGTTGCACCAAATGCCGTGGCGTTGCTCTAAATGCCGCGGCAGCACGGGGAGAAGGGAAAGCAACAGTGGCGGAAGGTTTCCTGATACGAAGTGCCCCACCAACCCCGAGGTCAACATCCAAGCCATCGCTGCCTGCCTGCCCGAGAATGCAAGGGGGGGGGGGAATTAAGTCACCCCCCAAAAGACGGCCTAGCTGTTTTTGGGGGGGATCAAAATAAATAAATAAATAAGGCCTGGACTTATTTTGTGAGAAACACGGTATTTATAAACCCAAGTTGTGAACATATCTAATGCTCCTTTGTCCTGTTTTCTGTGAGATGGGTTGGGCTGAGAGAGAACGACTGGCCAAAGTCACCAGCATGCTATGATGCCTAAAGCAGGACTAGAATTCATGGTCTCCCTGCACCTTAACCATTGGATAAAACTGGCTCTCTGTTTAACTGTTACTGATTAAATAAATTGCCATAAGATGAATTGGCATATGTTAAGCCATAAAGTATGATTTTTAAATTATAGTTGTTGGGTTTACAAAATAGGTAAGATAAAGTAGAGGATAAAGCAGAGGAGAATAAGAAACATCCTGTGTTTTAAAATGAAAGAAGAAATGTACTGAAAATCTAAAACTAATTTACCAGGAAAAACACATACAAGGTGTTAAACTGTTTTAGCTCAACATTATTAATTTATGCTCTAAAATTATATTACTGGATTTGGAATTGAAAATATGAAACAAAATAAATGAAATTTTGTGTAGTGTGATTTATGTCTTACATTTTTATTTGTATTTTGAAAGGTCAAAAGCCACCCCATAAGGGTATTCTTTTACCCTTAACTTTGGCCTGCAATTCTTTAAAATAAAGAAACAAATATCAGTGTTTTTCAAGGTTGAAATTTCATCTGACAGAAATGCACAATTCCCTGATTTGTAAAACCAACCCAGGTTTTGAGTAACTAAGATGCAAGATTAGTCTTTCTCTTTTTTTTTCCTCTCCAAAGCTACTAAGCAGAAATGGGCAATTTTTGGCCCCCATAGGCATTTTTGAAATCCTAGAAGCCCTGAACCTCATAGATGAAAACCAGTGGTATTATTACTTACCACTGAGGACATGACGTTTCCTGATATTTTTAGGCAGAAAACACAGAAATGGGCAAATTAAAGAAACAAAGTAAAATAAAAAACCAACCTCTCCTATCCAAATAATTAAGGGGACCACCCCCTCCCCCCTGCATTTCTGCTCTGTCAATGCAGCCTCCTTCAGTTGAGGGGGTTGCCTAAAGCTGATCTCGCCTGCTATAATAAATGGCTTAGTTATGTATTAAATATGATGGCTTATTGTTAGGTAACCTGATATTGAATATATTGAAAAGCCTTGGGCAAGATTGTAAAGATAAAATTCCACACTGGCAATTGAATGAGGATTGATCAGTGAAATGAAAGAAGTATCAAAGAAACAAACCGAAGCTAGAAAAATATATCTATTCTTAGAATGGCTTATCTTTTGAAAATAAACAATTTGTAATGCTCTCATTTTTATTGATCTAGGAAAATCAGAATGAAGGAGGTAATGCCTAATAACAGTACAACAAGTATATCTCAAGCAAGAAAAGCAGTGGAGCAGTTAAAAATGGAAGCATATCTGGATAGGATAAAGGTAAATTTGAACTTGTAAACATATTTACAAATTCTAACCACCCACTGGTTAGAAAACTGCAGAAGCTACTCAGATTTTCAACACAACATAGCTAGATAGGAATTTTCATGGCATACTGGCATCTGTACCAGGCTGAAGCTAGTTGTTTGCCATCTGTCAATATGAGAGTGCAGTTTTCCCTTTGTCCAGCGCAGTTTAAATCTGTAGCTTTCCCACCACCATCACCAATTTTCTCATAGCTTAAGGAACACCTGTTTTGCATGTTTCAGGCAGGGAGCTGGGTGGCAATTGACATTCCTTCCTTGGCATTCTCTGGTTCAGTGTAACTCCTGTAGATGTTATCTTGTGATATTTGTTATCAGGCAGCTGTAACTGCTCACAATTCCCTTCACTGTTCATGGATCAGTGTCTATTGCAGAAAAAAGGGGGATATATTCTTTCTCTAGAACCCCCTGGATTCTCAAAATCTTGGGGTAATCTTGGGATAGAATGAGGCTAAGGTTGGCACTGTGGAATTAAAAAGAGAAAAGTGCTACTGTTCAAATGTAAATCCATCTGGATAATGTTGTAATTTACTCAGGTTGCATAAATGTTTAGGTTAATTTGAAATTGGGGCATATTGCTATTACTTATAGGTATAGCATTTATACTTGAAAGTTAATTGCATGTGAAGCATCAGATTAACCTTGAATTATTTCCTGAGCAGCTTTATAACTGTCTTAGTTTGTTGATAATTTTTTTTCTCTTGAGAAAAGACCCTCATTTTAACTTAGGAAAAAAGTAGATTATATTCATTGTAACTGGAGTTAGTAGATTTATTGAATGTTAGATATCATCCTTACAAGAGCACAATTTTGTTGTACTTGAGTGAATAAAGCAGTATTTGGAAGTGCTTTAAAGATATTGACATTTCTTAAATTTTCTGTCCACAATATAGGACATCTTGGCTTATAAAATTAATTACATGTTGTTACAAGTTGGCTCAGTGACAATTCTGTGAAGTTTAAACCCTCCCCAGAAAATCTAACCTGCTGTGTTGTCCTCTGTCAACTGCAGTACTAAAATTGTTTCTCAAAGACCTCATTCTCTCAAAACACTGCCTAAACAGATTTTTCTCCAGTTTGAAATTACTACTGCACATGACAAATATTTGGCTTTAATATCTTAGATTGTGATTTTTACATTCATGAGATAAGCAAAATGAATTTATACACGTTTACTTCTCTTTGGAAATGAAACACATACATTATAAAATAATTAACTTTTATTATTTTCTCAACATTCCCATGTAAATATTACTGTATTTCTGCATATGCATAAACAGAAATGACTCATTTCCATATGTACAAAATATTTTGAATGATACATTTAAATTGACATTTTGAAAAAACTGATGCTGAGAATCGGGACAATCATTTATATTCTTTATGATGTTATATACAATCTTTTATGTTATTGTAAATACTATTACTACCTTATAAAATTGAGTTCATAATTAAGTCCATGTATTTAACTATGGTTTATATACACATGATTTACTGAAAAGACACTATTGGCTGGCTTTATATAATATTCTAAACCATTACTGACATAAAAACCACAAAACTTAATAGTTGTACAGTTTAGGCTAGTAGCCAAACATAGCTCTTTGTATTCAGTGAATTGAGTCAAAATATATAAAGAACATGCATGTGAAGAACAGAAAGAGTATATATAACAACTATAGAAAGGAAGCAAGATATTGGGGATTTAATACTGTTTATTGTCTATCATTTCTTCTTTTCTAGAAGTTGAACATTATCTAATCAAGTTTTATTCTTAAAGCTAAACAGATCCAATTTTATATACTACTTGGATGATCACACATCTGAAAACCATATGCATGCGCAGGGCATGTTCAGTTAATAAGATTTTGATTACTAAGATGAGAAATACATAAATGTTTCTTAGCATATAGAGTTTATTTAGAAAGCTAATATGTATACCAAGCTAATAAGTAAACCATAATGCCATTAATTTAACTATTGCCTCCTTTGTTTTGAACAGCTAGTAACTTTAAAAAGCTATTACAATGATTTCAAAATATTGTAAAGTTTAATATTTTGGTTTGTTCTCAATAGTTTCTCAATTCAGCAAAAATAAAAAACTATGTGAGAGACTTCTTGATTTAATCACTATTTGTATTAACAAGAGACTTGAATATATTTCAAATTAATATACAATGACTTGATTGTCCAAATAGGAACTGATAAATTAAACTCCAAAATATTCAGAATAGCAAACAAAATATACTAAATTAAAATTAAAAACCTTAATTAAATACAGTAGCTATGATCGAGATGAAACTAATGCTGTGAAAGTGTAGATAAATATTGCTGCTGAAATTTATTTTTAAAAGTAAAACAGTGAAATTGAAAAAGTTAGAGACAATATTGATATAAGAAATAGGTATGGTATAACTGAAGTTTGCAGATACCTTTTAGAATAACAAAACTATGCTGCTGACATCCAGTTAAGAAACACTGATTTTTAACATAAGTAGCACTGTGAACAATTGCATACAGCAGCTATTGTGCTTTTCCCATTCTCCTTTAAAGATGGAATTGTTAATTATTTCTAAAATAGTGTTGTGAAATCAACACTGGCATTAGTGAGATGTTTGTGGATGTGCTCATTTTAGATACAAAGCAAAAGCAGAGTGGGTGAACAGTAATTATGTCTGTCTTTTCATGGAAGGTGACTGTAGTAATTGCAGCATTTTGTCTTGTCACTGAATCTTATAATTATAGGGTATCTAACAGGATTATATTCTAACTTGGGCTGTTTTTAGTCACCTTCTTTATTCTGAAATGTAATGATAACATTCTCTAGTTCTTTTAAAGATTGCTAACTTACTCTTAAATATCTGGTAACAACCCTTTGAATTTATGGCAATATTCATCTATAATAAACAAAAAGATTCAATCAGCTATTGGTTTAATGTAGTTACATTGTTTGGATTGTGAGATCTGGAAACCAATTTATCAGAAATTGTTGATTCCAAGTTACATTTCTTGGTAAAGGACATATTACAAAATTTCGTTTCCTTACATAAATTACTAATCTAATTTATCCTTGTTTTCCTTTCTGTTACTATTTTACAATCTGTCAGCATAAAAATAACTGACAAATTTAATTGAGCTTTTCTTTTTTTCCTGAATGTTTGTACTTGTGCCATAATGTACCATTTGTTATATTATCATAAAAATAAAACATGTTATAGGAGCTACATATGAATAAAAAAATTCCTTGGTTTTGGTGCATCTTGCTGGCCAGCTCTGCTGTAACGTTTCACATGGCTTCCTTTTAGCATTGACTTTGTTCTTTGGAGTGACTTATGGTTGGTGAAAGAACAATCTGCCTTGTTTGGACAACACAACTTGTGATAACTTTTCTGCATGATGCAGCTCTGTCACATATATGTACTATTTTTAGAAACTTACTATAATTTCAGAGAGATTAATAAATGATATACTGAACTATAGCCTGAGATGTATGCATGGTGTGCAATTCATATTCTCAAAAAAAAAAATCTGATGTTGCAAGGCAAAAGATTTAAAATAATTTAACATTAAATTGTTTAATTATATGATTACTGCTTATATACCTAATACTTTTGTGTTTCTGCCTTATTCAAAATTATAATACAGAGAATTTTGGTGAGAGGCTGGGTGATACACAGAAAGCTTTCAAGAATCATGTGTAGGCCTGGGGCATCTGTTTCCCCAACTATATGGTATAAATAAAGAACTATACCTAACTGCTTGGATCAACCTATTAACACTGTTGCAGTAGTAATAATACTTAGATAACCCTTCCCCCATTTTTCTTTTGTTCTTTTTCCTCTTCTTTACAAAATGCTTCTAGGTATCCAAGGCAGCTGCTGATTTATTGGCATATTGTGATGCTCATATGGGAGAAGATCCCCTTATTATACCAGTGCCTGCATCTGAAAATCCCTTCCGGGAGAAGAAGCTCTTATGTACTATCCTATGATTCAGCCTGCAATTAACAATGTTATCTGTGAAAACACATTACCGATGGTGCATGCTTTTCCTCAAGTTTTCTCCCATGTAGTAATTTAGTCCTTTCTAGAACACAATATAATCTAAGTTAATACATTTTAAGTGAAGGTTTTTAATGTCAATTTTTCTATCAGTGGTATGTGTTCAACATTTCTATTGTTCTCTATTTGTGTTTTGTAATAAAAGAATCCCATTTGTTGTTAAGTATGCGATAATTAGATTTTGTTGGTTAAATTTCATGAACTGTCTTTGGCTAGCCATAGCTAGACTAGCCATAGCTTATATAATAATGGCTTATGAATTAACCAAATTGCCTGACGGAACACACAGTGAATCATAAATCAACCACAGAGGTTATAGAGTTGCACAACATACTGAGTCACAAATTGGCCAATCGCCTTTTAGCCTGGTGTGTTGTGTACCAACCCAGGCTGTCTTTCAGAGGGACTGAAACTATGATGAGCAATACGCACCATCAATTTCTTAACTATTTTATTTCCATGTAAAAAGTGGGATTTCAGAAGAGAATGTGCTTGATGAATGTTTAAATTATGAATATTAAAGTTAAATCAAATCTTCCCAATAAGCTGCCTTATACCAAGTCAAACAACTAGTCAACTTACTTGGATTTATCTTACTGATGGGGCAGCATTTTCCGGTTTTGAACAGGAGCGTACTTAAGCTTAACCTGAGATGCCAAGGATTTAATTTAGCATTTTTAAAATCTGAAACGTGTTCTTTACCATCAAGATGTTACTCTTCATCTTTTTTGTGTTGCAGTATGCTAATTGCAGCAGGCAGTAGCACTACTAATAATCATTCTAATAATAATACCAGCACATGAAAAGCCTGCAGGCCAAATAAAGACCATACTGATTTCATTCCATAGGTCAAACTGGCACAGTGTGGAGTCCAGTTCAAATAAAGAATCATTTTTTAAAAAATTTAACACGTTAATTATAGTTTCTGTGGGTACAGAATCCCATGTCATACTATAAACTATGCAGCCTGCAGCAAAGGATGTCATCTTGATATGTTCCTTAATATTTCAAATTATATACCTCTAGCCTTTGTAATATGCTAAGTACAGATTTCTAGTATAGTTGCGTGTGTATTAAATAACAGATTTCTATGGTCTTTGTATAGGCTCTTATCTTTAAAAAAAATATTAAGTCTATGCTGTAAAAGCTTGTTTGTCTGAAATCAATTATATAGTTCATTTGATATATGTTGTATGATAAAATGTACTGTTAATCATTCTCCTTACTTGAATATTTTAATAAAAGTTACTTTTAATTTGGGATTGTATTCCTACCGTAGTAATTTGTCTGTTGGAGTAATACAAACTATTTGTGCATCCATTTTAACCTGGGGTTAAAATTCCACTGATGCCATACATTCACTAACTCTATGAAATAGTTCTTTTTCAATCTGTATCTGATACCAAGTAAATATGCTGTATTTTAATTCTCTAAATATGGGCATTCTTATTTGTATATTAAGCACACATTTTTTAGTTTTCAAACATTTTAAAATGCAACTAATTTGCATATAAATTGATGCTCAAAACCACAGCCCAAAATTGAGCCCTAGATTGGATATATTCATTTATTGATTGGATTTATTAGATTTTTATGGCTGCTAACTCCGGGCTTTAACACTGAGAACAATAAAACAAAAAAATAGAAACATGTCAAAAAGAAAAAAAATGGGCAGCAAAGATAATTGTACAAACAAGTTCATAAATTAAATTCACAAGCTCTACCATTTCCGAAATCTATGCCTAAAAGAAAAGTCAACTCCAGAATTGCAGGAAGTTGAGGAATCTAATCTCAGGAGGAATGGTGTTCCAAAGAGCTGACACTGTGATAGAAAAGACATGTTTCCTAATCAGCAAGACGAGTATGCTTATTTTGCCAGATGTGATGGAGCAGGTAGAGTCAACTGGAGGAAGGTGGTCATTGAAATATCCTGACTCTATGCCATAAAGAGCTTTATAGGTACAAATCAGCACCCTAAATTGCACCTCAAAACCTGCTGGGAAGTAGTGCAGCTTAAAACGCAGATACAGATAATGTCGTACAGGCATATTAAAGTATGCCCATAATTGCTCATGCTGCCAATTGTAGTTTTCCTTTGAAGAAAGGAGAGTTCCATTTAGAATACTTTGCATTCTAATCCAGCTGGGAGATGAAAGAAGCATGAGTGACCATACACAGTTCCTCTTGAGCCAGGAAAGGGGACAATTAGTGCACAACATGAAATTGTAGAATTTCATGGCCACCACCAACTCTATGAGTCTAGGAGAACCCCCAAATTATACATTGGTTCTGGTGTGAGACAACACAACTCCATCCAGAACTTTAGACAGAAGATCTAAAGTCCAGAACTCTGGACGCTCTAAAATCCAGAACCATTCAGTCCTGCTTGGTTGAGTTGGAATCCGCACAGACATAGATGCAGAATCTCCACAACCCAAGACAGAACTACCTATTCTGACACATGACCTTATCCAACTGCTTCATGAATATGTTAGATAAGAGTGGGGAGAATGTTGTTGAATCCTGAAGAACTTCATGAAAAAGGGGATGTGGGCTCAATTCCCCCGCCCCTCTCGTTAACATCAATTAGAACTGATCTCAGAGGAAGGAACAGAACCAAAGCAAAGTTCTGTCCCCAATTAAAAAGTCCAGAACAATAGCGTGTTCAATGGCACTGAAAGCCATGGAGAGATCAGGCACCACCAGGAGTAAGCCACTTCCTCAACAATTTTCAATAGAAAAAGGAATATTGGAGGCAAGTTAAATATTGCCCAAAATAGAGGGGTCGATTGATAACTCCTTTAGGGGGAAAGAAGCTGGACTAAGATTAAGTTGGAGGGAAATAACTAAATTTGAATGATGCAAAGTGAAAGCTGTTCCAAAATTATGGGTGTGGAGTGTATATAAACAAGCCATAATGAAAGAGACCAAGATCTGGCCAAGATCTGTTTAATTTGTACATATTTTAATCTTGCATTTTATATTTTAAATATGTCATGGATTATGCCTTATTTTAACTGTGATGCTTACTAATAAACAAACCTAGTGGCTTACTTAATCTGATATTTTGTTCCCACAATGGCCAGCCAGACCAATGGAAAGCCATTTAAAAGTAAACATGTTACTAGGCTTCCCATTGGCTTGGCTAACTAGCCATTGTGGAAACTTCTGAAATATTGTCAAGAAAACGGAAAGGATTGTCCAGATTGTCTCCAGGAGTCAACACTGCCGAAGGCGTAATAATAAGTTACTGCAAGAAGATTGCACAGGCTGACCACAAACAACGGCATTAACTCGCTGCCAAGATTGGATAATCAAGTGCCTAGGAATAACTGGAGTCAGCAGAAACAACAGAAGGTTTGTGCAAAGATCAATGGCACAATGGAAGATACACTCTAGACTTAACAATTGATGATAAGACAGACAAAAGATTTTGGAGAGTAGACATGGCAGAACCTGGAGACAGCAGAATAGGAGAGAAAGAACTGGAGAAAATAACAAAATGTAAAGACCTCCAAAGAGAAGCAGAAGTGGCAAATGAAAGCAAAAATTGTACCAATAGTAATAGGTCCCTTGGGTGCAATGTCCAAACAATTGGAGCACCACTTGAACATCTTCGGCATTGACAAATTCACCAGAGTCAATTGTAAAAAGCAGCTTATATCCTGGGATGATACCATTAACACCATGAAACAAGAACACCTGCCTAAACTAGGTCTTTGGGAAGGACTCGGTGGATTAAAAATGCCAAATCCAGTCTAAACATCTGGCTGACTTTGCAAAAACCCTAAAAACAATTGTTAAAAAAGACAAAAAAGGTCTGGCTAGTAGATGTGCAGTATCTGGAGATAGCAGAAGAAAAGAAAGAACCTCGAGAAAATCACAAAATACAAATAATTGCCAAGAGAAGTAGAATGGTTATAATGTGCTATTAGTATTTCATCGTATTCTTTCATCATCAATCCTATCATAACAATAAAATCAGACTACTTCTTAATGTAAGTTTCTGCACCACAGTAAAATCTTATTTTACTAGTAGCTATAGGTTCTAGAATTGTATGCATTTGGAAGAGCTATCGCTTTACATCCACTATGTATTCAATCTATACTTGTATTTTAGCAAAATTATTTAAATATGGTTTTGAAGAGCAAAAAAAATCAGTTGCTTTCTTCATAGGACACTCAGGAACTAGGGAATCCTTCAACATCATAACTGATTTAATTTTAACAAGGCTGCATCAGTTCCCATGGCAACATATTTACTTCTGCTTTTCCAAATGATAACTGTCTAACTGGCATAGTGAAAACTGAAAATATAAGCAGAGTGTTTATCCTTAGAAAATGTAAGCACAATGTTTATTCTCTTTCCTACCCCATGTAATTAAGAAACTATAAGATTAAAAGTGCATTTATTTAATAGCATTCCAATATATTGACTCAATTATGAGATAATTTTAGAAGATAAGAAAACACTGATAATAATAACAATAATAACCTGCTTACCATGAACTTTCAAATTACTAACTGGCATTCTATTTGATGCAATACAACAGCATCTAGTTGAAAATAAGATCTCTCCATCCGAGCTGAAAGGAGACAGCAGAAGGACATAAGATCAATTCCTAATTGACAAGATGATTTTGGAAAACTATAAGAGAAGAGCAACTTGAATGTAGCTTGGATTGATTACAGGACAGTATTTGACTCCTTGCCACACAATTGCATAATTAAGTACATATGTACAGTTTGAAATGGAGCTAAACTAATATTTGGAACTGCATTGGTATTGTTTGTTCGAAACCTTAAGGTCAAATCAATTGATAATAGAAAACCTTATTAAATATATATTGTTTTTCTTTTCAAAATGGGTTAATAGTAACTTTTAAGAAACTAATACTAGGGATTCATTCATTTAAACGTACCTGCATTCAACCAACCAGTTTTATTCTGATTGCTGTAAAGGAGCAGAAAGCAGTACTTCTAAGCAGTTTGCCTCTCTGCAACTGATTTTCCCCTCAATCTAGTTCAGCTGTGTTCTTAATCCAGCCCTCATGAGGATATCTAAATTGGCATCAGAAGTTCTGTAGACCTGAAATGTGAGTCTCAAAAAGCTTAGCAAACAGCCTTTAAGATTTTTTTGCTATCTACTTTTGCTGTCTGATTTCTGATAGAGAAGGCCTGGTACTATCTGGAGAAGCTGGGCTGAGCTTTAAATAGTTTCCTGTATCAAAATAACAACAGTTGATTTGCAGATAAAAAGCAAGAATTTGGGACAGGACATCAAGTATGTCTAGTTATATATTGAATCATTTTAAAAGCTAATTTATTTTGGCTGAAGTATACAATTGGAAGAATTGTATGCCCTATGTGCTTCATATGAAAGGAATAGATGATGATGATAATATAATTGCCTAGCCTCAGTAGCTGCATAAAAATGCAAGCTAAAATTTCTGCTGTATAATATGTATTTACTTATTTGGTGATTTATCAGTAGAGGAATATTTTGTGAAGAATATTATCCAAGCATAAGGATCTTTCTCAGATGATTTGTAAACTGAACTATTGCTGCCATCTGCTGGATAATGAAATAATAATTATGTATATAATCCCCAAATTTCACTAGGTAATTCCATTAGGGTCTCAGGAGTAAGTAAAAAGCAACTAAATGTATAATCATGTATATATTTAACTCCTTGTGGAATGTTTTTTGTTATAATATTTTACTCTTTATATATATATCAACTGAAGAAAATTCATATGCCCATGAGGACAACAGATGTGTTAAATGTGGAGATGTATGAATATAGTGAGGAACGTTACTAATTCAGTCTGACTATAGATTTTTTTGTTTTGTTCCATAATAATAAATTGTAGAGGAATTCCTCATGTAAATCCAATGGATATGAGTTTGATATCAAGAAAAAGGTGTTTATTTTCTGCAGACTTTGGTAATAACATCTGTAGTGGAGGTAGGTAGACAACAACATTAGGCTATCGAAACAACTGGTACCAGCCCTAATTCAAATGTTTAGACTGATTTATTTATATTTCTTCATCACATCATATATGGAATCTTTTAGAAATTATTCTAAAAGAAAAATGCAAATCCATCACAATAAAATAAAGGCCAATTACATGCAAAAAATATATTAACAAGTTCTAAATGGGTTGGCAACTTCCAGCTAATAGCTCATTGCTATTTTTCAAAAATTTCCCACTTCTTGAACCAACAAACTTAAGGACTTAAGACACTCAATTTACTCTTTAATGAGCTTCCAGATTCCAATCAGCTAAAAAAAACCAATAACTCTGATGATATACCATCATTAGTCATATCTTTTGTAGCTTTCAGAAGCCACAGTTTTACAGCACAAAAATCCTCATATACCTCCTCATAAGTATTTGGCAAATAAGAGGAGAATTTCAATTCTTCCTCTTTCTTATCAGCCCATCTGCATTACTTTCTTTTGCACTGAGCCCATGCATTTTCTTATTGAGCCACAATCTTTCAAGGTGTCAAATTGTGCACAAAGAAATTCTTTGCATCAGCGACCTAAAAGCTATTTCTGGACATGGGATTAATGTTCCCTTGGAAGACTACTAAACCTGTGTTGAAATGATTGGGTCCCATGGCCCTCCCCTATTCTGCAAACATATCAGCTATTTATGACATCAATTTAGCAGTCTCAGAAGAGAACTAGACCTATGTTCAGAAATAGTTTTAGTGACAGGTCACTTGTGATATAGTTTGAGAGGAACACAGGTGATTTCTCTCCCATTTCACTTTGTGTCCCCCTTTGGGATAAAAGAGAATGCAGAATTGTCATTAACTACATCCCAGCTTTTACATATTTCAAGTTGATATGAAACAGCCTGAGGGTTGCAAGCAGGGGTGGGATTCAAAAATTTTAACTGGTTCTGTGGGTGTGGCTTAGGTGGTGGGTGTGGCTTTGTAGACATGTGACTGGGTGGACATGGCTTGGTGGTCATGTTATTGGCTGGGCGTGGCCAACTCAATATCACTCACATCGAGGCATGCATCTCCTTGCCTGGCCTCTCATGACTGTGAGGATGCTGCAACAGTCGTAAGTGTGAAAAATGGTCATAAGTCACTTTTTTCAGTGCCATTGTAACTTTGAATGATCACTCCACATAAGCAAAGTACCAGCAAAGGAGGAAAAAAAAACTCCAGAGAAATTCCTGAGACAGGAAGTCTAGTCCTGCCAAGAATGTAATAAGGGTTAACGGAGAGGCAGTTTCTGTAAGCAACACCAGAATGTTTCCTTCCTGCCTTCCTTACAGGATTAGCCCAGTAATTTCTTCTAACAACTGGTTCTCTGAACTGCTTAGAATGTTAACAACCGGTTCTACCGAATAGGTGCGAATTGGTAGAATCCCACCCCTGGTTGCAAGGAGCACTATGGGAACTCTCCCTCCCACTTCAATGGCAGTGCTGGCATTGAAATGCAATGGCTAGTAGTCCTCAGAAGTAGCTCATGTAGTACACAAGATGATGCCACTGCTTCTCACAAAAGTAATGAAAATATTTCTTGTTCATTGCAGCAGCAAAGAACTTAGAACTTGGGCCCAAACTAACAGCATCCAGAACTTGATTTTTCCTACTTTAAACTGACCTTGTTTTGTTTTTAAAGTCAAGTCTAGCATTCTAGGGACCTAGTGGCTCAGTAGATAAGATGCTGAGCTTGTTGATCAGAAAGGTCGGCCGTTCGGGGGTTCGAACTGCATAATGGAGTAAGCTACCGTTACCTGTCCCAGCTTCTGCCAACCTAGCAGTTCGAAAGCATGTAAAAATGCAAGTAGAAAAATAAGGACCACTTTGGTGGGAAGGTGACAGCATTCCGTGTGCCCTTTGGACAGTGCTGGCTCTTTGGCTTTGTAACGGAGATGAACACTGCCCCCTAGAGCCTGAATAGACTAGCAGGTATGTGCAAGAGGAACCTTTACCTTTACCTGGCACTCTATCAAACAACTTCTGAACACTTAAAAAAAAAAAGTGGTCTTGCATTCTGTCAAAGAAATGCTATGTTTATGTACATAAGGAACCTGTAATCCTTGACCTGCCCTTGCAGAAGCTTCCCAACAATCCAAGCCAAAAGGGCCATGGAGAGCCAAGCCATGAACTGGAGGGAGAAGCCTCAAGTGACCAAGAGGATCTGGGCAGATCCCATCCCTGATGTTGTCATCATCCACATCCTCAGTGACAACAGATTGCTCTTACGCCTTGGCTCCTACCAGAAGGAAGGAAGATGCTAATTTAACACTGGAACAACTAGTACAGGCACTGGTTTCATTTTTAGTGGGCAGGTTATGAGATGAAAGTGATACTCTGAGGATATTTCTTTTAAAATGGTAAGCAGGCCATCTTCAGGTAGGATTAGTGGGATTTGAGAATAAGTTCTTGATTTCTTCCTGTTTAAAGAAAAAAAGTGACACGTTTCCCTTACAAACTTCACATTTCCCAAGGGATTGGGCGAATCCTACCTCGTTTATCAAATGCAACTCATTTACAAAATTTTGTTTTAAAAAGATTTGTTCCACACATTCCAACAATTGAAATGAGTGTGTGTGTGTGTGTGTAAAAATGGAAAGGCCAGATGTGCTAAATAAAAGTTTTCCTATTAGGTGCCCATTTTTACCTTCCCTCTCATTCTTTCTCTTATTATTTAAGAAGAAAAAAACAAAGAGGTACAAAAAATAACCTGCAGTTATAAACACCGGCGGGCCTTTCCCTACCTCCTCTTTCTTCTCTCCTTTCCACGGAGTCACCAGGAGTTTAAAAAACAAAATATCACCTAGATTAAGGCCGATTTTCTTTGTTCACCTCGAGATGATGCGTCCTCGAGAGGGGTGGGGGGGCGGGGGGCGCTGTCGGATCGCACCAAGGTCAAGCGGCTTCCGCTCGGCGGCGAGGCATTGTGGGGATTGTAGTGCGGGAGGCCCGGCTCTGCGCACACGCTTTCCTGGTCCGGGCGGGACTCTGGCTTTGGGCCGGCCGCGGGAGGGGCCGGCGAGGGTCTCTGGTGTCGGAGCGAAGGAGGACGAAGGAGACCTTGCCTGTCTCTGCGGGTCCGTCCCGTCTCTGCTCCGAGAGAGGCCGCGACGGCTGGGTAGCGGCCGGCGGCCAATGCGAAATTGGTTGGTGCTTCTCTGCCCGTGTGCGGTCGGGGTCGTGCTGCACCTCTGGCTTCTCCTCCTCAGCTGCCCGGCCAGCGGCCCCGGGAAGCAACACCCGGCAGGTAGGTCGGTGGCGGAGGAGGGGCCGGTCGCACCCAGCCTGCACACTTGCCGCCCTCCCGCAGGGCTGGCGAGGGGGCAGAGGCACCTTGCGGGAGGGCCTCCTTTGCACGGCGCCGCTCTGCCGTCCGTCCGGCTCACGGTTTCGGAGAGCGGGGCAGGAGGTAGAGGAGGGCAGCGCTGTTGCCTCCTCCTTGCAGCCAAGCGGTGGGGCCAGGGTCGCCCGGGCTCTGGAGGGCAAATCGAGAAGAGGTGGCGGGGTAGCTGAGCTCTCCTCATCTCGGTCGAGAAGAAGGGAATGGCCAGCAGCCCTTCTAAGCGAATAAGGCTGCTTGGAGGAATCGGCGAAAAATAAGCGCGGGGTATGTATGTTGGCGCCTTTGGAGATTCTCAAGTCATCCAGGTCGTGGTTGTCCCAAAGATGCTTTTTTTCAAGAGGCAACTGGGCTTTCTGGGTTTTCTTTGAAGACGTTTCGCTTCTCATCCAAGAAGCTTCTTCCCTCCAGCTGTCAAAAAAACCATCCTTGGAGCTTCTTGGATGAGAAGCGAAACGTCTTCAAAGAAGAAAAACCAGAAAGTCCAGTTGCCCCCGGAAAAAGCTCCTTTGGGTATGTTGGTGTCTTTCATGGAGGAAAGAGCTTGGAGGGCAGAAGGCTTGGCTCAGGGGAGATACCAGGTAGGAGAAAAGGTGCAGGATTGGGATATACAGTCCCCCAAACGTTTGGAGACAGGCTTGATAAAAGTAAGAAATGCTGAAGAATGGAGTGGGCTTGATTGTATATTTGAATTGTGGTGTTGCTTTTTTTGACTAGTTCCACCAGCTGGAGGCATATGTTTGCCTAACTGCAATTCTTCAAACAGTTAAGGTCAAAAATCCTTGCTAATCTACTGCAAATTAGATACAGCTGCCAGTAGATATGAATAATTTTTGCTTGTTCCTGTTGTGAATATGGAGCAGGAGTTGAGAAACAGAAGAAAAGAAAAGAAATTAGATTGCTTTCCATAGAGACTTTCCTTCAAGTCATACCTTAGCTTCTTTCTGGTGGTTTCATGTTCATGCAGGGTTTTTTTTTTTGACAGCGGTAGGGAAGGAGATGTTTATTGCTTTCTGGGATGTTATTTCCACTTCCCAGACCTATAGTTCTGGTGTTCCCAAGAGGTCAGGCTTTGGGTTGGCAGTACGCTGCCATTTTTGAGACATATTAACTGTAGGAAAATGAAATAGCAATAGAAGATTTATTATGCAACTAATGTATTGATGTTTAATCAAAGACCATCATTGATTGTAATGACCATCACCATATATATGCATGTATGCTTCTCTGATTAACATTTCATGCATTTGTTGAAGTAGGTTCTAATGCTTGTTTCAGTGGAGATTCTATCTGGGGGTAAAGGAGAGCTAGTAAATGTCACGCTAAGAGTCTTATTTTCATTTATAGAGGAAGAAATTAAGTGTTGTGGTGGGTGACTTCTGTCAATCCTAGCAGTTATAATTAGTCAGGTTTTGAGAAGGTTAGGGCATTCTTTTTTGCCTGAATTTATTTTTTTGCCATTTTTTCAGTGATATATGAATGACCTTGTCTTTGAAATAAAAGATAATTTAAAACTTAAAAACATGAAGCAGTGTTCCTCAATAACTTCAATTGTTAGGATGTCATGTAAGCCTGAAAAAAAAGATACTGTTTTAAAAAGTGGCTGTGTTTGCAGTCCCTTAACCTTCCTTTCAAATCATTTTGAAGTTTGAAAATGTTGTGTGTGTTAGTGAGAAGCTTCACTCCAAAAAAAAAAAGGGGGGGGGGGGGCAGGGCCAGAACAAAAAAAAAAAATACATTATTCAAATTAATAACTTTAGCTATAAAATAAAAAGCTGAATGTACCAACCATTCTCTTTTGCACCCACAAATTTCTCAAAGTACTGTCTTCTTTGGGAGAAACAGCCAAAGAAAAAGAACAATAACAAAGACCATCATCTTCATAAAAGAAGAGGGAAAATAGAAAATAGAAGTTTTATTTTTATCAGTTCTAATATTATATTCCCCCTCCCCCAATTCACAGGTATTATATGGGAGAAAACTTCATTTTCCTGTTGGGTAAATACCATCTGTTTATATCACCTTCCTGTTATTTTGGCCAGGCAGCTTTTCTTTTTAAGATCTTGAGTTGTAGTCAAGTAATATTTGGTTTGAAAAGGTAGCTAGAATTTAATTATTCATTATATCTGCTTCATAAGTGGTTTGGGGAATTTGATTTCAATTCCCGCATGCTTCTATTTAATAATCTGTAACAGAAAACTTCAACGTGTTCGTGGAGGTCTGTATTTTTATTAGCTTTCTGCTTTCTACCATTACTCTGGAAGGAGAGATAGGCCATATATAGTTGTGTAAAATGTCTTATGATTTCTTGCTCTGCATGTGTGTAACATACTGTATCTTTTGTGCTGTGCGGCCATGTAATACTTGAAAAGTATTTTGTATAAGATTTAAACATATATAGTTGCAGTAAACTTAACTATTACATTGCACCCTCTGCTGCGTAATTATTTTCTTCTTCTCTTAGAAGTGCAGAAATGCCTATTGGTCTCTGACCTTATTTTTGAAACCTGTATAATTCTTGACTTTTGACGAATGTATCTTTTATGTACACTGAGAGCACATGCACCAAGACAAATTCCTTGTGTGTCCAATCACACTTGGCCAATAAAGATTTCTGTTCTATTCTATTCTATTCTATTCTATTCTATTCTATTCTATTCTATT